GCCCTTACTAATTTAATTCAAACAAATCCATTAGGTGTTGGTAAACGTGCTATTGGTAACAAATCTCAATAAATCTAATTAAATCTTGACTACATTTAAATCAAATATTCGTCTTTTGGATAAACGAACTTGGTGAATCATTAGGCTCAGCTATTGATTCCTTTCATTCTTAAAAAGTTTTAGTTTTTTCTATGTTGAAAGTCGATATTTCATTCGAAATAAACATTGAAAACTAGAAAAATCTTATCTTACCAACAGTTGTTATTAGAGATGTAACAAAGAATAGGCCTTGTCCAAATGTCCATTTAGTTATATTTGCTTTTGATGAAGATGAATACCATAAACCAGTATGAGATTTATCCAAAAAATAATCAACATAAAAATATAAATCATGTTCTGAAATGAGAATAAAATTTAGGAAAATTTTTTTATATATCAATCTTTAATTACCTTTCAAACATTTATTATTTCGATTTATAAATTGTTTAATTTGATTATTAACATATATATGCCGTTTTTTCTCTTCAACAACATTCAATTCATAGAATATTAAAGCACCAAATAATAAAAAAATAAGATAACAAATAAGAAAATGAGATAATTTAAGCATAAAAATAAATATTGAATGTATCAATCTACAACATAATAAAAAGTCGAGATTGTCATATGGTGATTTTAGTTGTTCGTCTTCAATTTTTTATAATATCAGAGAATACTTTTTATATTTATCTATATCCAGAAGTGACCACAGTGCAGGGATCATGCCATTTCAATCTTGAGAAATGTTTGTTGTTCCCCAGCGAAGTTCCAGCGTTTTATTCTTTCTTTTTGTTTTGCTCATCAATTCTCAACTCTGCCTCAAAATCCGATCAATTTTAACAAAAAACTTCTAATCGGCTACCTGAGTCACCGCTAATTCCCCCCCCCCCCCCCCCGCCCACCCCTCCTCAATCCTGGTGATCTCAGGACAACCCTGTCTGTGTCTATATTTGATATATCATTTGTTATCAAATAAGACTTTAAACCAACAACTAAAATGGTAGGTTGAGGAGTTTTGTTAAATTTTTCTTTTGAATTATATTGTAGCTCACTACATTTTATTACAAAAAAGAATTGTTTGATAAATTCGATTAATCAATGAATGTTATGAATTAAAATTGAAGATTATTGCTTTTTTTAAAGTTTGTTATATTAATATACCATCTTATAGCTTATTTATTTCAAATAATAATCAACACTAATTTCAGTTGATAAGAATTCGCTAAAAGTTTGTATATTATTGAAGAAATTTTATATTCATTTAACATGATATGTTACTTTTCTTTGTTATTACTATTAAAAATAGAAACACTGTTATCATACCATTCAAAAATTTCATAATGAAATAAATCATTCTAAGAAGAATTTCGTATATCTTTCGTGAGTAAATACTGATTCATCGTGTTCAGTATTTGTTAAACTATTGAATACTTTGTTAAATAGAAAAAAAAATAGATTAAATTAATCTCAAGTTTAGCTTCATCTAGATTTTTGAAACATTAATATCTTTATATGAATATAATATACAATTTGTTATAGTTCCATTAAAAATCTTCTCAGTCTATCATTTGATTATGCACTAAAATAATGATGTTCGATCAAGTTTTAACAATGCAAAATTCTTTTTTAATTTATTTTAGAAGATCAATGTCCTACATAAAATGATTATGAGAATCAAATTCAGAGCAAAGCATGAGAATATTCGTCATCTGCAGGATAGGTCATAGGACCAATCAAGTTTACTAAATATTACCTTCCAATAATAAATTTTCGTACTGTTATCAATAAGATGAAGATTATTTCATTCGAATAATAGGTTTCAATTGTGACAAACTAAAATTACTAATATACATTAAAATAGTTGATATTCATTTTCTTTTTTCTTTATTCTCCTTATTTAAACTTTCATAATACATCTCATACTTGATTACGTTGAATTAGAATCGAAAATAATTATCGATCTATTCCATACAATCGATTACATCATAGGAACAATAACTGTGAGAATATTCACATATTGGAATATTACAAACGCAGATATCCATAAAAATTGTGGACATCGTCAAAAGTGCAAAAACAAAGATAGAGTTCAATACGAATATCATAAGGATATTCATGAGTTACCTTGGTTTTAATTGTAAATAATATCGATGATTACCTCGATATTTATTTATAATATATCTTGTATAATTAAAAAGCATAGTAACCATTGGTGTCTACAGTTTTTACATGTATTCCACAAGAACCTTGCTGAAGGCAATTTTTAACAGCTATATTTTCGTTCTTATTAAGATGTGAACATAGAGATTAAAACTTTTAGAGTTCTTAAATTATTTGTCTTTCTCGTCTCGAATTTTCGCATGAGATGAAATTGATATCGATTATAGTTATTGCTTTTTGTGTATGTATTGACTACACTTTATTCAAGTGTTTTTGTTGTTAATCAACAAGCAATAGTTGAAGTTCAACTTCGTACTGATGTTTTCACTGATTTCTTACAAACTCTCTCTTCAAATATTATGAACACAATCATCTATTCAGTGATGAACGTATTGATTATTTAATTTAAAGGAATTCTTCGACTGTTAATGAAAGTACTCATGATTTTATTGTTAATATTTCCAATTCGTCTATAGCAATGTCATTGCTGAGTTATTCGGTAGCCTTACTTCCAACATAGCTTACTGTTTTTACAATTCACAGGATTATCTCCTCAATAAATCATGCACTAGTTTTAGTAAACGATCAGTCAATATTCGACAAGCTAACACCATTGCAATATATGATGAAAAATTTTTTCAACAGTTCAATTAATACTCGTCTTTTGGACAAGTGATCCTTGTAGATCATTAGATCGAGCTTTAGATCTTTTTCGTCCTTGATAAGTATTAATTTTAGTAGTTTTTCTTTTCTCTGGAGTAACCTTTCATTTAAAAACAAATGATGAAAAAAAATTTTAAAAAAATCTTTTTTTGCTCACCTACAAATATCACAAAGAATAATCTTGGCCTAATGATTCATTTACATATCTTTGTCTTTCATGAAAATCAATGCCATATATATATCCAACGAATAAAAGAAACACATGTGCTATTTGATTATTTATAAGCATATATAAGTCTTTTTTTTTCTTAAATAACATTCGATTCATAAACTATTAAAGCACTAAGTAGAAAGAAAAATAAGATTATACAAAAATTTTAAAAATAAGCTTGAGAATACAAAAAACAAGACATTGTCATTCAATTGATGATATACAAATTATTAGCACCATTATATCATTAACCTCTTCAAAAAAAAACTAAATATCATTCTTTTTTTTTTTTTGTTAACCTTTTGTATTATCCGAAGTAGTATTTGATGTATTTTCTGTTTCGTTGATTTGCCGACGATATGGTTGATTAGTTGATGAATTTTCAATACCATAAGAGTGACTAGATGATGGATGTGCTAACCAAAGTAAACCAGATGTTTCTGATGTTGATAAACGATCATGTTCATTTTCAACTTCTTTTTCACTTAGAAAATATTGTATTAAACGAAGTTCAGGAATTTGTGAAACCATTGCAACAGTTAACATCATAATTGTTACACCAACCAATAGATAAACTGAATAGAAAAAAAGAAATTTTGAAAAATACGAAAAAAAAATTCAAAGATTATCATTTACTTGTTAAACATATTTTATAAAAAAGTCTATTACGTTGTGTTGGTGAATCTCCAGCAACAAAATCTCCAAGACCGATTGTTGTTAATGAAATAAAACAAAAATAAAATGCATCAATGAATGACCAATCTTCTTCAATATGCATAAATATAATTGATGGTATAATAAATAGAAAAATAAGTGAAAATATAAAAATTATTAATAAATGTATAAAACGACTTTTTGATTCAGATCTTTGATTCGATGAAAATTTATAGCGAAACCATAAATAAGTATAATTCAGAAGAATGAGAAGTTTTCGCACTATTATTGTGAGTAATAATAATGTCATTGGAACACCAATAATAGCATATATTATACAGATTACTCGACCAGTATCTATATGAAATAATTAGAAAATTTAAGTTTCAAAAATTCTATTTACCTGATAAAGGACTCACATGACCGTACCTATTCAAAAAGAAAAAAAAAACCTACAATAAATATGAAAAAAGAAGAAAAAATATTCTTACCCAATTGTAGTAACCACCGTAACTGCAAAAAAGAACGATTGAGCAAAAGACCAATTATCCACACTGTTAAGAAAAAAGTTTAAATAAATATTAGAAAAATTTCAATTATACTTTTTTTGAAAACTAACAAAAAAATTGTATACATTTTTCTATATTAAAGTAGTAGATATTTTTCTTCTGCTTGATGCATTCAAAAGAAAGTTCTCGAACTGCTTTGTTTTAACGAGAATAACAAATATTATCATATTGATATTATTATTTTCTAATAGTTGATCTAATAATTTATTTCTTCTTCTGAAGGGACGATTTAAAATTTTGAACCGGTAGATACCTATTGAGAGGATTTCTCATTGTTTTTGAGGGTGGGAGTGGCTCAAAATTCGGCAGAAAGTGCTTTCGTTTGTCATTCTAGCAGAAATAGGACAAAAGATGCTGAAAATATCGAGTTTCTATGATATTTTGTCTGAGAGAAAGTATCTTCGTATAAATATCTTTCAGAAGTAGAGCTAAAATCGCTAAAATTTCCTTTCTGTTACGATTTTTCACGAGACTAAAAAGAATTTTGCAGAAAGTTCGATATTGTCGAAAAGGGAAACTACTCGCCATCAATTCTCATCACAAAGATACAATAGTTACAAGAAGTACTACTACTGGATAAAAATTAAATAAAAATTAATCCTTGTGTTTGATATTTTGACTACAAATAGAGCTTGATAAACTCGAATCGTAAGCAGCAATCCAATGTAGGTAGACTTTAATGCAAACGATTTACGAAGAAAAAACTGATTTTTTTTTCTAGGGTCAAAAAAGACTTTGATACTTTTTTGGTTTTCCATTATTTAAATGTGTTAACCTCCACTTTCTTATTAACAAATAACAATTCGCATGTCTATATTGTGTTATAGACAGGGTACTTCAATCTGCTGTAATCTTGAGATGCAAGCAAGCCTACTTTATCTGGAATAGTCTTAGCATGAGTTTCTTCTCCATTGATGGCTGTGATCGTGAAATTTTGACGAAAACCTTTGTTAGAGCAGGACACTCTCTGGAGTAAATTTCACAGCAATTGGTTAAAATTATTCGGAAATATTGGTCGCTTTTTAATGATTTCCATCAATTCTCATGTGAGAATTATTTCATAGATCAGACAAACTAAAACTGTTTAACATGAAAATTTTATGAACGATAGGAGCAACACCGAGCCGTCGAATGCTAGGTAAAACGTCATGAGATTTATTTTCTATGTTAAGATATCCTCATCTGACAAAAATATTCATGTTGATCTTCTAGCTCTTCGCATGAAGATCGATTAAATTCTGATTAGCCCTTGCAATCAGAATTTAACATGTTATACTTCTTGTCAAACTATGATACTAAAGGATTAAACTTTAGGTACTTTTTATAACTATTGTGAATAAATTGGTTTGTAAATAAAAACAGTCTCGAACAAACTGCACTCGCAACGATTTGCCAACAAGACTTTATTGATTCTTTTCTACAACGCTTTCTGATATGTTCATTGGTGGCGAAGCCATAAGGCTCCCGTAGACTCAAACACTTTACTTCTTCTTCCATCAGATTGATACTATCGCAACTCTGGTACAAATGTCAATAGTTTTCCTCACCTTATAATAAAATTTTCTTCGTCAAATAAACTTAGAAAAACATTTTGAGGAAATACTGAATTTTGGTAATGACTTGAAGTGAAGATCCTTCATTATCAGTGAAGAACAACTGCATGAAAAATCTGAGCCAAATTGTCAAAATTTTCCTTCATCTTCAGCGACTAAAATTGCATGTCTATTAAATATTTTTGCATCGTCATTAAAGTTTTGTTTTTTAGTAAAGCAGACCAGAAACTTTTATTTCAGAAGTTATGTTTCTTTTTTTACGCAAGTAGCAATTTGTCTTCTGATCTACATCACTGTTATACGCTACAAAATATGAGTTCAGAAAAAGAAGCACTAACTATATTTCATCTAAATAATATATAAAAACTCATTTTTAACTTCTAGATGCTGATCTTATAAAAAATGTTGAGCTTAGTCTAGAATAAAAACTATCTGATACTAATGAATATGCTATACTAAATTTTATATTTAGCATTTTAATATTCAAGATTATTGGAAAAACATTTTACGGAGTAAAAAAAATAAAAAGTAAAAATTTTCAATTCTTACGTTGTAAAATTTGTTCGTGCATCTACTCCATGTTTATTAGCATCAAGTAATGTAACAATAAATGATTCAAAATCGTCTTCTATAAAGAAAAACAAATAAATCGTCTGTTTTTTTTTCGGTTTATTTAAATCAAATATAATTATTCAAACCTGTTACACATGAATATTTTTCAAGAAAATCTTTTCTTATTTTTGAAATTTCATTAATAATTCTTTGTTCAGTGGGTTTTTCAATAAATGAAAATAAATTAGCACCAACAAACAAATAAATAACAAATATTAATGTAAAAAGAAATAAATTTAGTTTCGTTGTATATCGATTTAACATGGTAATTTCATATACAACAAATCTGCAATATGAAAAAGATTTTATTTTATTTGTTTTCTCTTATTCGATATTTTATTTTATTTTTCTTCTTCTTTTTTATGATGTTTCTTATGATTTCAACGAACAAATAATAAACAAAATAGAACAAAAAAAAAGTCAAATTTTATTAATTATTGTTCGCGCATTTCACGTAAACGACGTACAGCTGAACGTACAGCAGCAGCTGTTGATGTCGAATAAACATAGGCACCACCGGCTACTGTCTTTTGACATGAACGACATTTCCAAATACCAACACATTTACGTTTCATATTATCTTTACCACAAAATGAACACGTGTATTTTGAATGTTGAGTTACTTCCATTTTTTTCACCATTTTACGTAATGATGCACCATAACTAAGAAATAAATAATAACAGTTTGATAATTGAAAGCGAGTTCTTCGTTTTTTTTTTGTTTATTTACCGTGTACCATATTTGCCAACAATGCCAACTTTTTTGGTTCGTTTGGCCATTTGTGTTTGTTAGATTATTCAACGAACGACGTAATGAAAAATCTGTTCGATCTGAAATATTATTTTAAAAGTTAATTAATGAATTTCTTATTTCCCGATATTTTAGCTTACGAGGTGGTACCTCACGTTTGAAATGAGACTCCAGTCATTATGTATGGTCTGTTGAGACTAGAAAGATTCTTCCTCATGCATTGCCTTTCTGAAATTATGGCCGGTACACTGGGTTTAAGTCCACAAAAAACCGTGATATTGCACGGAAAATCTAGTATTTTTGTGGATTGGATATTGCAAGAAGAGACCACTCTTTTTTGGCTAAAGTTTTTCGGAGATTCTAATGATTACAAGAGCTGTATATGGGTAAAGTTTTAGGCTAAAATTCGTTTATTCAGTTTTTTTACAAATATCATGCCGAGAGTAAAAAATCCAGTGTAATGACCATAACTCCAAAAAGACAGCACATCTCCACGGGCTTTGTGTAATGACTAGCGTCTCATCTCGAGCACGAGATGTTATCTCGAGTGGTTCTCTCATTAGTATACGACTTACTATTTATATATTATCTAAAATTAATAATACAAAAAAAAAACAACTAAGATTTAGTTCAAATACAATTGTATCCATTGAAAGAAAGACTATTCTATTTTATCTTTTCTAATTCATTAAACTAACTGTTCTATGTTTTTATATTAATATTTTTGTCATAACAATAATATGCATTTGGATTTACTAATAGAATGAAATATGCGTTCTCATGATACACTTATTTGTTTTAACGCATGATTATCGAATAACTAATTGTAATTTAAAGAAACTATAGTCTACGATTTATCTATGGATTTCTATATAAATTTTTATGAAAATAAAACTATGTCGAGATAAACAAAACTATGACTGTCGATGCAATCTAATCCATTAAATTACTCCGATAGTAGCGATGATGATTGAAAGAAAAAAAGATTTAGACCACCACCATGCCTTCATGTTAAAGTTATAGAGGACACTATCAAGTTTTCAAATATTTTTTTTGTATTTTGATTTTGTTTTATAGAAATTCTGTTTTTTATTAAGGATTTAATTGAAAAACAATAAATTAATAAAAAAAACTTTGTGTTCATTTACTTTTTTTTTATTCGTTAGATTATTGGTCTTTCTGATTCGTTACAAGTGTCCAGTAAAAAATTCCAATGAATATTCTTAATATCAATTGATTAAAACATAATGAGAAAAAGAATTCTGGACAATTATCTTAAAAATGAAACTATTGAAATTGACAAATTTGAAAAAAAAAGATATTATATACCATATTCGAACAAGACACATTGCTCCTGTTTAAAGCCTTAACATCGGAGTTACATCAGTTAAAAAATCAAGCATTTCTACTATTACAGAGTAACAAGTTTATTATTCATATGTTCAGTAATGAACAAAAAATACATTACTTTACAAATTCATTAACAAGCAGCATGAAAAAGAACCATATATGCTAGTTCAAAAAAATTTTCAGAGTCGGTGTAGGACTTTACTCCTGTTATAGATATTTCGAGATTTATTCAATCACGAGGCAACGTTTCCAAAAGTCTTCATTATTTTGAGGTGATATTTTGTCCATAACTCGATCTTGGTGAACGATGAAAAGCTTCCAATGAATTTGTGCTCATGGGCATTCTTTACCGAGTTTTGAATTGTTCAAGTATTTTAGTAATGGTAAATGCTTCTTCGTCACTATTAAAGAGTAGAATAGTATAAATCTTTTTGAAAGTGAACTTAATGATAACTAGATTGTACTAGACTTTCCACCATTTTTTGTTCAGTACAATTCTTATTAGAACAAAAAAACAGTTCATCTACATGGTTTTCATATGAAGCCAAATGTACACTGTTCAGCAGTACAATCAATGCTTGTATTTCATGAGAAAATCACAGTAAAATTTCAAGAAATATTGAGATTTTTTATCTGCGAACTTCTTTAGATTGCAATATTGAAAAGTTGAGTAGCTATCATCAACTTCACTCTCAGAAAACATTTGCCATTACTTTTATGTGCATGGAAAATACTCTAACAATTCCAAATTCGACAAGGAACGTCCATGAACACAAAACCATTTGAAGACTTTTTCTAGTTCACCAAGACTTGCATATAGACAAAATATTAACTCAAAAGGATACGGACATTTAGAAATGTTTCCTCGTCAATTCAATGAATCGATATGACATATGTCACTATTATATGAATATTCAAATTGTCATGGTTATTATATAGAAATTAATTTTTCATTAAAACTGTTGTTTAATGATCTTATTTTATTGTATAACAACAAAAATGATAGACTAAAATAAAAATATATAATGAATATAACTTTCAATTTTTATATCATAAATTATATGAATATTACAATAAAATATTGTTTTTGTAAGAATGATTAATAAAAAATTTTATTTTAATGTATCATGATATCTAAAAGGTGATGAGAAAATGTTTAACAACAACGTTTTTTTTCCTATAATATTAAGCAATCAACTCAAATTCAAATAATGAATTTAATAACTGATGAAGTGTTCTTTTACCAGGATTTCATAGATGAACTATGGTGGCAAGACTTCAAAAAAAAAATGGAAACGGTAGTTTTCAAGTCACAGAAGATTATTTCTTACCAATATCATTTTAAAGAGAACAAAATGATGGGTCGTTGCATTTTCTACGACTTTCCCTTAAAATATTAAAAGCATTATAAAAACTGTACACAACACTTTTTTTCTGTCTGTGTGATATTTTTAATATTTTAAAAGAAGATCGTAGAAAATATGGCAATACATTATTTGTATGTTCTTTAAAATGGTATTGTTAAAAAATAGTCTTCTGAAATTTCGCATGGAAAAAATTCTTTTAGATTTTCATTCTTTGTTAATTTTATAAATAGTTAATTCAAGTTAATTTGCTTTTTCTCTCCCCGAGCAATTTATTTTTCATATGCAAATGGTTGTTTTTTTCATCGTATAAGTATTTGTTTGCTCAAATATATATGATTGTTTTTATTCTTCATATGTATTTATTTTAATGGCACTCTTATTAGTAAATATACTTGTTTAACATAGAATAATATTCAGTTCCTATTTTCACTTTTGAATAATTTTCTATTTATTAATAAATATTTGTTACAATCTTAACCTATGCTAAAATAATATCTGTATTACTTGCAGTCATTCCTATAGATTCACTGTACGGGATTGATTCGAAAGAAAGAAAATAGTAACAAAACTCGAAGGTAATAATAAATGTTATAGAGAAGATGTAATTATTTTATAGATCTATTTATAATGATTAATTAATAGATTAATTTATAAGGTTCAAAGAATATGACCTTTCTTTTTCGCACCATTGCTAATATGTCTATTAATAATAGTTATAAAATGAATGATTCATCTCATGCAACCTTATATAAGTAGAATTGATTCATATACCTATAGACATGATATTAAAGATAGAAAATAAATGTTTCCTGACATTATGACTAGAAGAATCTAGATTCTAAAAACGATCCTTTCAACCTTTCTAAAAAACAGTAGAATATAATCATCAGTTTTTTAATTAATGGTTATCATTTTTCTTATGAGATCAGTTTTTTCATATATCGAATAACCACTAGTTTCGACACTATTTCACTGAACTATACCCGGACATATTTCCTATTGTATTGTTTTCTTTTTTTTTCGAAGAAAATTGTTTCCAAAGATTTTTCTTTTCTACTGATTGAACCAATAGAAAACAAAAAACGCATCCAATGTTATCGATCCATCCTTAGAATACCATACTATTTTGTAGATTGCATTCGATTTTACTTATTGACAGGTGAATCAGTACTGTTTAATTTTCTGTTATGGTAAACAACAGATATTGAAAAAAGAAAAATTCAATGAAATTTTTTTTTTTAAACAAATTGAATTTTTTCTTATTTTCAGAAATTTTTCTTTTTTGTTTTAAAATCTATTTGAAATGGGTTGCGATCCAGCTGGTAAATGTTTACTTTTTATAATGGTTTGTTTATATTTCTTCTTATAAAAAAAAAGTCTTTTATATAATCTTCTTTATTAGGCTGTACTTTTACCTCCTGTCGCTGTATATCTTGCTCGCGATAAAGTATGTTCATGTATGGTTAGTCTGAATATTTTATTGACATTACTTGGATGGCTTCCGGGTAAATATTTTGATTATAGTATTAATCATAATTTATTATTATTTTTTGTTTAAAGGTGTTATACATGCATTTGTGGTTATTTGTTGTTGTTCAAGTTATCAAGTTCAGTAATTTAAGGAATTAATTACATCTTTTTAACCAAGCATAATATATTGGCTATTATTCTCTATATAGAAATTTTTCTTTTTCTTTGGTTTCTAATTGTTCGATATGATTTTTTTTTATTTTGACGAAAAACAAAAAAACTGATAAAATATCTTTTTTTTTTTTATTCGATGAACAAATAAAAGTTCATATGATACTAAATAATGGTTGCATAAGATACAAAAAAAAAGAAAGAACGAAAAATGACGTTACGGATGAGTTATTTCTTTTTCTTCATTTTGCTCTTTTCTCACGTGTTCATCATCTTTTGTTTTAACAATCAAACAATAATAAGACAAAAAAAAAATGATTCCAATGTTACCAATGTGTGCTCCACGTGTAAGACTTATGCCTTGTAACCCACGAATGGCATGTGTTGCACCTGCCATGGTGCCAATGATGCCAATGACAGGTACTCCTGCAGTATGTCCAATGAATAAATCGAATATGTTTTCAATAACATCTCTTATGAGCGAACTGGATTCACATTTATATGGTCGATTTCGACATGTTGAACGAGAAAATCCATGTTATCGTCATGCACCATTTGATTGGTATCGACCACCTAAACAATGTTGTCATGTTATTCATGAAGATGCAGCTGTTGTTACACATGATGGACCTGTACCTATTGGTGATTTTTATCGTTATTATATTTATGGTGATAATATCGATGATTATGGTGATTCATCTTCGTTAGAATCAGATGATTATGATGATTTAGTTGAACCACCATATAATGCAAGAACTAGAGGTTATCAAGGAGGTTTTCAAAGAGAACCTGATTTCTATAATGGAAATGCTATTGCTAGTCAACGATATAATCGTTCACCAATGGGTATAGGTAATTATACAACACTTAATACTAATCGTCGAACAATGAATCCAGCAAGTGCAACTCGATCATCGAATTTTCGAGGAACTCGAACATTAGCTGGTGATGATGACTTTGATGATGCAGCTTCAGTGAATAGTACATATGGAAACTGAAAACACACTTCTTTATTCATCTATAAACAATTATTTCTCTTTCTTTTTTTTTTTGGTTTTTTTTTCATTTTGCATAAAAAAATCTTTTATATACAAGATTCGAAGCAAAAAAAAAGCGACACATAATTAAATAAATCAGATAAATTTTTGTTAAGGAAATCGTTCGGGAATAGATTGAGGTAATGATAAACGTATTAAAATTTTTCTATTATTTATTATATTGGGTGATCGATATATAATTGGTGTTGCATTTGGTATTTTTCTTGTTGTTCGAGGCGGACTTGAATAATGTTTTAATAATAAAATTTTATTTGGTTTCTGAAAATTTCCATTATTATGACGATCATTACGCCGTTGTTTACAATGAATAATTCTTTTCATTGTACGATGACATGCTAAACGATATTTACGAGAAAATAAATGATAAAATATTGGATTTACAGTTGAACCAATATAATAAAAAATTCCACTAATAAAATAAAATATAGTTATTGCACGTCGTTGAGTTAATGATAAATGAGAATCATTTAAACGACTTGTTATTAAACGTTGTGCATGAAATGGAGCATAGCATATAATAAAAGCAATGACTACGGCAACTAGAAAACAAAACATGCTCACAGTAGAAATAATAGATCAGTATTAGCAGTTTCAGATTCTGTTAAAAAAAATTTCAAATATCTTGTTCTCATATTTTTTTCTATAAGTAGGATGCAATGAGTAGATACGTGTAAGATGATCCCATCGGAATCGGAACCAGGATCAACATTTTTTCATTAGGAATGATATCTTTTATGTCATGTAAAACTTGCATCAAATTTCATATTCTCACGGTTCACGTGTTCTAAAAGTTTATATGAAAATTATTGAGTAACGATCACTTCAATATTTACTGTTACAATATTCATAATAAAATTAATTTTTTTTTTTTCATAAATAATAGAATTGTTGAACATATAAATGTGCAGAATAGATGAGGTATTAGTAAATTTAAAACAAGTCATACATCTCCCAGAGAGAGGACATTAGTGGTCATGCAAGATGTCTCGATCGTATTGACATTGCTAGAAAATAATATCGCATTTTTCGTTAGTACATGTATTACTAAACGCGAAGCGAGAACCAAAAGGATTGATTCTGCTTATCGCTAGCAATGAGACTTGAAAAACTACTGATAGGATAAGGGTTCATAGGTCTTTCTTCCTGAGTTATGAGTAGAAATGTGAAGCATGACGTTTTTTGATCGCGCTACCTTCTTTTTGATCAATTCTGATCGTAGTCACGGTGCATCTGGTATGTTCGTGATTCCAATCTCGCACATACCTATTCAAGTGCAATAGTTACTGAAAAAATAGATAAAATCATGTTTTGAAATGAAAGTTTAGCTTATTTAAAATGATTTTGTGAATCAAATCAGAAAACATCATCAAAAGAGACACCTTCTCCATCATTTATGCCAAGTGAATGCGTGTTATCAAAGGATTTATCATAATCATATTCACAAACGGAAAAAGAACAATTGTCTAAAGATGACGAAGACATATTTAGTGTTCATAATGATAAAACTGTTAATTATTTTTTATATAAGCGTGTATATGATTGTGATTTGTTTATTAATTAAGATTCAACATTTACAGATTTCATTTGTATTTATACCGTCTTATTTATCATGATCTGTTGTTTTTTTGCATTGTAAGATATTAACATGAAAATAATAAATTGATTTATGATGTACGAAAAACTTCACTTGAAAAGTCACAGAGTTAAGAATATCATTTAGTCTCGGCTCCGCACATATCTACTTATGAGAATTTTACTAGATTAATAACTTATAACAAGAGATTTAACGAAAAGTCAAAGTATATAATTTCGATCTGAAAATTTTCCCATATATAGATCTCATGACTCCTAAAGCGATCTAAATGTTATAATCAAAACGAACACTTTTTTCTTGAGATTATTCAATCTTCAAGTAACACCTTCATGACACCATACGCTACGAAAATTGACTTTTCTTGAAAATTTACTATCTCAATAGAGAAACATTTGTTTTGATTGTAACATTTAGGTCGTTATGAGGGTCATAAAATCTATATATGAGAAAAATTTCAGATCGAAATTTCTGTATTTTGCGTTTTTAATAACTCTCTTGTTATCAGTGATAAACCTAATAAAATTTTCATAAATTAATTCAAGAAGAAAGATCAATTGGTCTTTTATCCTATAAGACGTTTTAAGTCTTAATGCATTCTATTTATGGGAGAAAAATCCAACGCAAAAACTCTGTATTGTTCGAAGCACTTTCCTCGTTAGTTATTTTTGTCAAAGCTAATTTTGGATATACTTGAATGACAGAATTATTTTTCCGATTATATTGACAACATAAAATTGAAATTAATAGAATGAATTGACTAATTCATACTCACGAGAAGATCTCGCTAACTATTGCATTGTTTTTCGACCAAGATGGTATTCATTTGATTAGTAATAAAAATGTTTAGAATGGTTTGATTTTCCGAACCTTCGATCTCGAGATATTGCAGTTTTACTGAATTTTTCAACAACAAGCTGTGATCACGTCAGATCAAGTGAAAAATCGAATTTTGACTTCAAATTTTGCACGAACAAAATTGTTAATGAGATTAGTTCATTGTGCAACTAGTATTTCCTTTCTGAAGATTAAAATATAGAAACAAAATTTGCTTTTACATATGAGAGAAATTCGAATATTGAATATCTCAGGATAGGAGATACTAGAAAAAAATACAAATTGTCCAGTGGATTAATCTCATTGAGAATTTTGTTCGTGCAAAATTTGCAGTCGAAAGTCGATTTTCCATGTGATACGAGGAAGATCACTGTTTTTTGTTGAAAAACCTAATAGAATTTTGATATCTTAAGAACGATGGTCTGAGAAATCAAACCATTGTAGATTTTTCTATTACTCATCAAATGAACATCATCTCAGTCGAAAAGCGATTTGACATCTGGAGAAGTTCTCTTGTGTCAGATTACAATTACATTCAATTTTATTTCAAATAGACTTTTCTTAATTGAAACTAAGTTTTTAGATTATTTTAAAGTAGATTACATTATAAACACGTCATGAATTTAACCCACTTGACAATATATTAGATACTGACATATTTTTCCTTAGATTCGTCTGAAAAAATTCATCGAATGTATCTATATCAGACATATTGAAGATTTTTGACAAAATTAAATAGAATTTTTAAAAAATTCAAAAATAAATCGAAAATATATGACAACAAATAACTAATCTTATATATTCATATTAAGTGATGTTTAACTTTAATTGAAGTCTAGTCAAAGATTTGCCAGTATATTCAATTGCAATCTAGTTTGTCTTAGTAATCTATGGCCAAAAGAAAAAAAAAACTTTAATCTTATGTTTATCTTTCCTCAAATTTGACCTAACTCATGAATAATATTTAAAGTATGAATAAGTTTTATTAAGTTAGTTGCCAACTAAAAAACAACACAAGACTTCTTAGTTGATATATTCCTTATAGTAGAATCATAAATGTCTTCTCTTAAAATTTGATATTCAAAAAATAAAATATGTTAATTTACTTGTTCATAAAAATTATTTCGAACATCATTTTCTGATGTCGACATAGAAGAAGACATTTAATGCATATATTACAATATGAATAGAGAAAATGAATATTCTATCTGTTTAAAAATAAATAAGTACATGATAATATTTATGTACTGAATTAAAGATAAACAATCACACTCATTATAATATGTCATTTTACACATGTACTTAATTTGATGTGTTATTATATCACGTCTGTTTTAAATAAACTTTTCAAGACTAATAATAATAATAATGTATAGTAGCAGTGTCTAGCTTTTGTTCTAGATGGTTTGCACTTTTCTACAAAATTATAATTAATAGAGGATTGAAAAGTATCTTTTATTCTCGTTCTCGTTCCTTAGAAAAATAATTTTGAATATTGACATAAATATAAAATGTCATGAGTATTTAAAAAAAAGCCTAGCTGCTTTATTCTTCAAGTCTGAAATTAAGAAATTTTGAATTTCTTGTCCATCAAAACTAACAGATATAAAAATATAGTTAACACAAATTCATTCTATTTCTCAAGTGAATCATATTGTATTATCTTATATCTTCGGAAGATACGGAAAAAAAACAACAACTATTGGTATTAGTATGATCAATTTTATCAATAAAAAATACTAAAGAATGTTGACAAAATTAGATGGGAAAACAGTTTCTAGTGAAAAATTTGAAAGACCAAGTCAAATATATTATTTGATGAATGTTTAATTTGTTATAGTTCAAAAGTTTTATCTAAATTTATTTAACAAACTTCAACGATTCAGCATCAAACCGTTAAGCACTAAACTACATCCAAAAGATTAAACCTTGTTTTTAGCAGAAAAAAAAATTTCTTGATTACCCACTATAATTTTGTCAATGTCGAGACATTCCTAATGATATCTATTTATCTCAAGTGCTAAACATATAATGAATAGCTTTTTAAAATAATATAATTAATACGTATACAATTTGAATCTATTTAATTAATAGGTTCAAATACTCTTCAGCGAATTCGATCAGTGAGCAATATAAAATATAGTTTACTACTGTCCTTATTACAAATGAGCTCTCATTGTAAAATGCAAGGTAAAATAACGTAAAGAATCCGTTCACATTTATTTAGCATCTATTTCAAATGTAGTTTCCATTAAGAGAATTGCTAAACCAGTAAGATGACTGTCATTCATGGACTCTTGAATATAATAATTCACTTTAAACTTTATATCAGAAGTAATTCGTCTACAAATAACTTGTGATACTAGAATTGCTTTGAAAGCTATGATCAATCAGAGAGTATCTACAGGAGTGTTGTACTCGATATGAATATTCTTGTAAATGTATTTTGTTCAAAGTACTCTGCTATCACTGTGTCATATCAACTTTGAGGTACTTGATGAGTTTTTTAGCATTTGACTATAAAATGCTTCGAAATGTACAATATATTGAGTTGCTGAAGAATTTTTTATAGAATACTATAGAAACTGGACAGGTATCTGGTAAGTATCCATTTATTGAGACAATTCTCAACAGGGTACCCAAATGATCCGGTACATGGATACCTTGAATTCAGTATATTGACTAAGATAGGATTTATTTTAAAAATTGAAGTTCAATAGAACCGGTCTCTATCTAAACATTGTTTTCATTATAAGAAATCTTTGTTTTTTTAGTATTATGTTTAAAATTCTATTTATCTAACGAGAAAACTCTTTAAAATATTTATATTTAAAGTATTTCATCATTGCTTTATTAAAGTTTCGAATGAACTGAGAGTCCTGAAGCCATCATTAATTGCTAATATTGGGCTTCAAAAAAAACATTTTAAGGAGCAACGAATTGCATGTTTTTTTTTCTTTTGTACTCATAGGATAGAAATAGAATGTAGGATTAATTCTGAAAAAAAAACCTTTGTTGAATATGAGATATTGACATTCGAATAATAAAATATCTAGGTGACAAATCTCTTCATGTCATTAATTATTTTTCTAATAACATGACAAATTACTTTCAGATAATTTACACAGTATCTGTTTTCATCTAGGAAGATTAAACAGAGTTCATAATCTCGAGCATTCTCATAGAAAGATAATTGATAAGTTGGACATAATTCAATATTATTTTATAAATTGATTTAAAATTTTAATTATATACAATTAAAGTAACATTTCACATCTTTGAAAGAAGATTAATTTAAGCTTACATCGAATTTGTATAAATCAATTGAATATACACAAAAAAAAAACAAAAATAGACTATCAATTCCTTTTTTGTAAGTTAAATTTGTTTAGTGATAGAGAAAACAAGATGGTAACATAAATGATTAGACAAATTAGACGAATACAGGATCCAAGTACGCTCATGTATGTTCCATATTTCTTTGTATACGGTCATTTACGACCGTGCCTATTTGATTCGAGTAAATTCCAAAAAAAAAACTTCTTTTGATGGCGAAACATCATTTTAATTGTAGGTAATAAAAATTTGAATAAATTCAATTTATGTCAAACATTGAATATAAATCTTTCATAGGAAATAAATGCTATTTGAAAAAAATCTAGACTCAATAAGTGCATTTTACATTTTATTACACACACCTATGATAATTATTTGGTTCATTATCATGTCTAGCATTGATATTAATTGAAAGATATATATATATATATATATATATATATATAATGAGAGAAACAATAAACCTATAATTATAATGTTAGAAACTTAATCTTTTGAAGGCTAGTCGATATTTTTTTTAAGGTGAAATAGTAGATATTCAATAATGTATGAAGAAGTTTGAATGAACAAATTAATAACGTTAATAATGTACGGATTCTTTTTTTCATTCGAAAAAAATCAATGTCATGTCATCTACAAGTTTCTTTCGATTGTGAATTAATAAAATATACTGTCAAACATTGTCGTATATTAATTAAAAAGTGTTGTCAAAATGAATAATTAAAAGTCTATTCCAGATTAATCTCAATTATAATTTATTTAGAATTTAATAACGAAAAAAAAACCATAAAGACCTCTGAACATAATTTTTAATAAAGATTAATCTTGAAGTCTTTAATATCAGTCCAAGAGTTCTCTCTGTATGTTTTAGAACATTCAATAATAATGAATTTTAAGTATACAGGTTCTTTTTAAAAAAAGAACAATGAAATTTAGATGATTCGAAAAAAATACAATGTTGTATATCGTTGTTTTAAGATTATGAATGTTAAACTACAACAAATATCTATTGATGCTATTTCTATTCTTACATATCTTAATATTTTCACGAGATCAACATCTAATAATTGTCTGATAATGTGAAAAGAAAGTAGAATTACTGTGCTATTGATTTTCTTAACCAAAAAATGATTTATTACAAAATATTTTCTTCTATCAATAATATGTTAATAAGGATTTTCGAATCTTATCAATTCATTTATATTTCTTTTGAAAAAAAAAACCAATTATAAGATGATAAATTTGTTAACTCTTTTTATATCTTATACTATGAATATATTCTATGAAAGACAAATCCTATGCATATAATCAAATGAAAATTATATGAAAAAAAAATTTAACTGTAACTATGATAATAAAATAAACTTACAAAGCATTTTAAAAGCTGATTTTTTCATTGCTTGTATATGTAATAATAAACCAGGTGAAGAAATATTTCCATTACGACATGTCGATTGTCTTGTAAACATTAAAGTACGTGGTAATGAATAATGAGTCGATCGAAATTGTCGGTTTTCTAAACGATGATCGATACTTTCATTAAGTTGTATATTCATTGGTGAAGAATTTGAATTAGATTTTTCATTTTTTGAACGATGTACTTCATGAAGTAAACCAATATTATATAATCGTTGTGCCATTAAAGCATATAAAAGACAAAGTATAAATACTGGTAAAAGAAAAAAACAAGTTGCTGATATATGTATACATATAGTAACAAATAATTGAAAATTTTGATCGAATAAACATTGATAATCAATATTTTTTGTAAAATAAAAATAAGGTGTAGATGAAAGTATAGCAATAAACCAAATAAATATTTGAACTTTAATTGCACGTTGTATAGTCGATAAAGATGATATACGAAAAGGACCACATACAGCTAAATAACGTTCAATTGTAAAAGCACTAGATTAAAAGAAAATTTTAGATTTTTTGCTATGATTTTTTTAGGTTTATTTTTTTGTTTCTTTTTACCTTATAGTTAATATCGATGCATTTGTTGAAGTTTCGGCAAGAAGAGCACGAATTCGACAGCCAAGATGTCCCCAAGGAACTTTAATTGGTAAAAACTATTAGTTAAAAACAAAGAATATAAAGTTTTGACTTGTTGTTTTTTTTTTTAGACAAAAATATTTACCGAAATTTCAAATGGTAAACTAACAATTAATGGCAATGTATCACTTATAGCTAAATTAAGTAAATAACAATTAGTTACTGTTCTCATATCTTGATTAAGTGAAATAATTAAAATAGTTAAAATATTATTGCCTATTCCAGCACAAAATATAGGTATATAAATTGAACCTTGTATAATGTCAAGTGTATGTGTAAAAATTTCATCATATGAAAATGAAGAATTATTACTAATATTTGTTGTGTTCATTTTTAAATAATTATTAATTAATTAAATATAATTATTATATATTCAGGAAACTTCTTTTTTCAATTGAATGTTTACTTTACTGTCATCGATATATTGACGAACATTGCTTGATTGCTCTTTTTAACATCAGATTATTTCTTGATTCTAGAAAAAAAAAACAAAAGAGAACATCAAAAAGCAAAGGAAAATAAAAAAAAAATGTCAAAACAAAAAATGCAAGAAAATTCAATAAACAGTCATTATCTAAACCAGAAGATTTCATTCGACCACACACATTTCATGTCACATCACATCATAGTCTATTTCATATGATTGTCTTAGAATAAAATGGATTGATAAAAATAACCGCAAGCTTGTTTTCTCTATACAGAAGCAAAAATATATTAACTTTCTATTGTTTACTCTGAAGATTCAGATTTAGTTCATAATCTGCTTGTTAAATGCAAGAAAAAAAAAACTCAATCTCTTTTACTAAGAATAAGCTTTTCTTATTCTAATAGGAAAAAAAACATTCTCTTGAATGCACACATTTCCTTTTTTCTCTTTTGAAAGAAAAACAGTAAGTACACAAGATTTGAAAAAAGAATAGGATTTATCATTTTAAGCATACTTACTAAAATATATCAAATCATATGTAAAGTCATATTTAATATTGAAACTTCTATTTGGATGTTTTTGTATAAATTGAATTGTTAAACATAATCAAGTCTAAAATCAGGTATGAATCATATAAGCCTATTGACTTCTTTTTCTTAGTTTAATACAAATCATCGATATGTCAAGAATATTCTTCTGATGTTTTCTCAACAATTGATGTCTTCTTAGGGATTTTCTTCTTATGTGTTGTGTTCTGAACGACAAATGATGCTTTTTTTCTTTATTCCGAGCCTTTTTTTTTTATAAAAACAAATGCGCATAATAACGAGGGAGAGAGAAAATTTAAGTGCAGCTCATTGAGTTACTATCTGTCAAAAGCGAATATATTTTGCAATTAAATATACCTATTTGCACATGAACAAGATATTAAAATATAACATTAGTTGTTATGTCAACGCGTCCTTATGAATGACTGAAGTAAAAGACTTTTGTCAAAAGTCTTCTTTTCATAGAGACTTCCATAATTAACTGAATAATAGACAAATGTAATAATATTGATTTAAGAAATATCTAAAATAGAAAAAATACAATGTCTGAACAATTTTTATAATTCAATAAGTAAATAATATTTTTTCATCAATATCTGAAATAACTAATGAACGGAACTATGTAGTATAATATAAATATGAAACATTGAATATATTGATCACAATTAAAATCGAATAAACTTTCATCAAATTATAATTTCACCCGAAAAAGACAATCAAAACCCATAGGAAAAGATTTATTTAGTTAGTGTCTAACAAATTGCGTGACGATATTCAATAGAAAAGAAAATAAAACCTATTTGATCTCGAGATTATTCTCATGAGTAAACATTTTTTTGTCTTCGTATTCGGTATATTACTTTATCACATTAATCTACAATATGCTTTCACAGATGCTCAAAAACATGTTGTAACATGAGAATATAATAATGATTCACAAGAAAAAGAATATTTAATCATTTTTGTCATTTATGATCAAAAGAAAGGAATATACGATAATCTTTCAGCCAAATACAAGAAATATGTAGTCGAAAACAACAGATGAGATAATTGCGTTTTTTTTTTAAATATGATATTCTTAATTAAAGTTATAACTTCTGATTGCATTATAAAACAATCTTTGATCTTGATTTATAGTTTTTCATTAGAAGAAAATAATAGATTATGGATTTATTATCAAATTATTATACCAGCAAAACAAACAAATATTACCGAAAATAAAAACAAAAAAAAGAAAATCTGTTGTTCTTATTATTCTTCATCAATATTTTATATATGAGGATTTTCATTCACGACGATAGAAGATTACTAAATATTGCTTTTCATTGTGTTAATATCGACTAGTCCATAATGAATGATTTACATAGTATTTCTGCAATAGTTTGAACATTTTTTCGTATATTTTCAATTTTTTTTTTAAAAGGTTGGTCCGTTAATTCTCTGTAAAAATATTTGCCTAAATATTCTAAATAATTTTTTACTCTTTCAAAACGAACTTTATCCTTGTCGTCCTTTATTACACCTTCTAATGCTTAAGAGATTATTTGCTCTTTATAATTTAAATTCCTAAGCAGTTTACAACATGCACGAGTTCATTTCAAAGATCATAATCAGAAGAGATTATTAAAAAATAAATCAAATGAATAGTTTCTATCGACCAATAATGCATTACAAAATTAACACAACAGTTGTATAAAGAATGTTTCATATCATTTATCATAAAAGATCATTGACATTGTAATAACATTGACTCTAATCCATTAAAAATCATTACATAAGATCGTTTGCTTCCTGTCATGAATTGAAGCGAGATTAAGGTTGTTTTTCAAGCTTGTATCGATTAAGTTGATGATGTGTTTTTATTTTGATGAAAAATTATTTCAAAAAATTTTGGCAAATAGAAATAGATATTTTTATAAAGAATTCAACAGACAAATCTAATTGAAAAAGATTCATTCAATAGATGAAAGGATAATACTGAGAGAAGCATTCTTTACTTGTTATAGTTTATGTTATTGTTAACATTCAATATATCAAAATTGATTTTATTTTTTATTCATAAATTTTAGTTTTCAAATCATAAAGTTATATTTCAAACTTACCGATAAATTTCGTTTTATAAACTAAGCGATAAAAATGTTTGTTTTTTAATATTTTTTACGTCAAAATCTTATGAATATTATCGTTATAAAAGTAGAAAATCCTGAAGATTTTTTTTTTGTTATTGAAAAGAACTGGAAAATCAACTCTGAATGAAAGGAAAAAAAAAATAATAATCATCTTTCTCATATATTATGTTCAAAACTAAAAACAACACTTTATTATTTCATGATGAATAATTTTCTTTTCATTCTTTTATGAATAATAATTCAGTAGTACACATTAATGATTGTCACATGAAAAGAAGACGAAAGAATGAAATAATTGATGTAAAAGAGAATGACAGAAACAAAAACAAAAACAAAAAACAAAGGACACACTGTTAAAATAAAATTATGCATATATTGCTGTTAATTGTTGTTCCCCACCTAAAAAAACAATTTTTGGATGATATGATGATAAATCTGTTGTAGTAAATGACGAAGTATCATTAACATGATCGTCATTTGATGATAATAGATTTGATGAAAGTTGAACATTATTATGAAAAACTCCATAGATAATATTATCGTAATTACTCGTTGTCGGAATATTTATTTGTTGTTTCTTTTTGTAGACAGAATCACTCGATGAATGGTAATGTTTTTTCCATCGTTGTCGACGCAGTATACATATACATATTCCCAGAATAATAACAATCACAAAAAGTATTAAAGATGAAACAATAATTGAAATAGTAACAATATCAAATGACATGAAATGATGTAATTTATAGTTAATATTCTGGCAAGTTTCATCCACACAAATATCTCCTAATGGACATTGAATGAATGAATTACATAGGCCATTCGTTAGACCTTCACAATAAGCTAATAAAAAATAAAACAAAATTATACAAAAAAAAAAACTAGAGATAACAATATTAATTATATACCTCTATTATCATCTAAAATTTTTTTATTAGATAATTTATTTGGACATATACACATTGTTGATGAACGATTATGATGACACCATTCTAAACAATGAAAATTTTTCATTGTACATTGATCAATATTTTCAACAGCATGAATACATATTGATTGTTGATTTTTAGTTAAATAAGATTGAAATGGTGAACGACATATACAACGATGTCGTTCTAAATCACATTGATAAATATTTAATGGATAACATAAATTTTCATTTGAACAATAATTATTTAATGTTGATTCAATTTTTAAATTAATTTTAAATAATTCATTATGATTAGTACGATAAATTGTTTTTGTTAAACAATCAATTGATGTTAAATTTCTTAAATATGTTATACCTGATGATAAATACATTATATTTGTATCAATAAATGTTGTACGAACAAATTCTCCACGTAATGTTAATGATGATTCAACTGATGTCCAATTAAATAATTGACTATTTAAACATTGTATTATATTTAAATTAAAACTTATTAAAGGTTTTTGAGATATATTACGTGCTAAAATTTTAATAAATAAATTTTCGTCTTCATTATTATGTAATAAATATGGTACGACCATTGATAATGTTCGATTGTCAATCGTCATATTAGTATACAAAGAATTAAATGAACAATTTGAAAGAAGAACTAGTTTATTAGGAATACAATTAGTATTCTCTGTTAAACCGACGATGACAGTGACGACATGTATCATTAGAAAAAGAAAAAATAAGCTATTAAACAGCATGAGATTTTAATGCTTGTCCATAAACCCACTTAATTTGGTAGGAAAGCATTACGTTCTAATTCCTAAGAAAAAAAAAAACAGAGAATCATAGGTAACTATCGATCATAATTAAAAAGTAATAGAAACAAAAACAAGAATGAAGAATGCTTGTCTATTATGAACAAATCAAATAGAAACGATTGTTAATGAACTTAACATAGAATAATATAGCTATGATAGACGATTGTTCAATGTATGTATATATACTATATTTAGTTCATACGCATGTATACAAGAATTAATATTGATAGCTTTCATAAGCTTCATTAGACTACTGAAAGCGGATATTACACACAATAATCGATATAGAATCAGACTATTTTAAGCTAGTAAGATATATTAAATAGATCTATTCAATATTATTATTTACCATCTATTAATATAAACAATAAAAATCCAATAGGAATGTTTTATGTTAAACAATAGAATGACGTTAATGTAAAATGTCCTTGCTCATTGAGAAAACCAGGTCATCTACTATAAAATACAGATGGATCGTTTCACTCGTACTTATTCTTTTTTTTTTTGCATGCCTGTTTGCCTGTCTGTCATTCATCTAGTCGAGAGGCTGGTAAAAGAAATAATCGTACATATTTAGTTACGTCATATTCTTGTGAAAAGCAAATGAACTATCATGATCTTTCTCATACTCTTAAATACTACATAAATAAATGATAGACGAATATATTATTTTCTATTCTTAACATTTATTTTATATACAATAACTTACCTTGTTTTATTCTTTTTTAAGAATCAATATAAAGAATAATTGAACAGACATATTATCTTTTCACCATATTGACATTATCATCTATTATATATTGTTTTTTGTTGAGTTGATATGCATATTGCCTATCTATATTAAAGTATCGTACAATAAAAAAAAAAGATATAACTTGTTGACTTTACTCTTTCTATCTTCTGTCTCGATTTCTTTTCTAGCGTCTTTTGTATCCGTGTAAATGATTATATAATATAAGCTAATTCTTTCTCTCTTATAGAACCACCATTAGTGATCTAACAAACGTTTTTCTTCTCTCTCTCATATATATATATATCTATATATACATAGAATTTGTAACGACCTTGTATTGCTCTTCTTCACTTAGTCGCTCTCCAGTATCTATTGTTCTATCTTCCAGAAAAATGCTTTCATGACAATACGGCGACTATCAAGTGTGGATTGATCTATCAAATGATTCTCTTCTTCTTTGATTCCTTTTTTTCATAAACCATTCAGCTTGACCTCGAACTACACACACACCATACATAAAAAATGTCTTGAGTAACAATATTCAACAGTCGATCGCGATTGATGAACAAACGGAAACAAGTTATTCCTTTTCATTATTTATTTCTAATTTCGGACTTCCGATAGTAATAAAGATGATCGACGAGCACAACACAAATGATAAAGAACAATTTTTTATAATGATAGAAAGAGAATTCTATTCGGAGGAAAAAGAAAAGAAATCTTGCATAAGAATCTAATCAATTTCAAGAGAAAAAGTTCATAGATAAATAACTAACTGACTTCTTCTTTTTTTTTTGCTCTTAATAAAGTTAAGGACCCGAAAGATCATTAACATTGAAAAAGAATAATAAAATCTTTTTCTTTTTCGATATGAATATTTATATAAGAATGTTATAAGAATTTTACATGATATTCGTTTTCTTGAAAATAATTTATTATTCATTTTATAATGAATGCAAATTTTGTTTATTTCCAATGATAAGATCTCATCTAGATTTCATGGAGAAAAAAAAAATGTATATATAAAAGCAAATGTCAATCTAATTGTGCTTGAAGATATTACATATGCTATTGAATTATATAGAAAATCTTATTACATTCTTGTATGGATCAAAAATGTACTATATGGGTATTTTTTTATATTGATATACTTTGATTGACATATAGACACTATATAAATATTCGTATATTTTGATAGAATGATTGGTTTAATAATAAAATAAAAACGAATGTAATATGATTTTATATGAATAGATAAAAAAAAAACACAATGTGAAATTTTTCTTGATACGAAAATGAAATTGTGAATTGAAAATTGTATTCTATTTTCAAATGTTTACTTTATTATTATGTATCATAAGTCTTTATTCGTAATTTATCTAATATGTTGTGATGGATTTAGAGAGAATTAGAAAGATGATGCATTTTTTTTCTTCTAAAGATTTGTTTCAAACAGGAAAAGAAAATAATACTAATAGATTATAATGATTTACTTCTATCAAGCCGATTGGTATAAATTAAGATTTTGTTTCATAGTTAAATAATTATCTATCATATGTGAAAAACTAATCAATATATATTGATTATGCAAAAAGAAAAATCATTCATTTAGAAAAAATTTTTTCTTCAAAACCACATTACATTATAATCCTTAATTAAAGTAACTTTTCATATACACTCTTATTTGAATTAGTTCTTTCTCAATATTGTTTAAACCTTTCTCTATTTGACCATTGCTAATGTCAAGATCAAATGCGACATAAGAAAATAATTGTACAATCGAACAATGCTCGATTTTTTTTTCTACATCAATTATTACAGAATTAGCTTCGTTGTATTCTATAATTACTTTTTTTTGTCAGAGAAATAACTAGTAACCTGTAGGATATTGTCATGGCAATTGCTTTTCATTCGTTTGTATGCATTAACTCTTTTGATTAATAATTGCAGCTTTATTTAGCTTGAATATATTATATATTTTGCAAACAACACAAAGAACACTTCATTTCTTATTGCAGGGCTTTGTGAATATTTGTTTTTCTTTTTCAGCAGATGGATTCTACTGGATAAAGACTATTTTTCAAATTAGGATTTTTGACACAAGACATGCTTATACATCTTCATTTGACATTAGCAGAAAAAAAAAGAGGAAAAAAAAAAAGAACGAAAAAGTGAACAATGATAGATTAATTATATAAATAGACACCGGAATCTAATGACACTAAAAAATATATGTATATTCGTATAATTAATAAGTAAACAATTCAGGATAATTAAAACTATTTATATGTTTATTCGGTGTTCCATTTATTGCCGGTGTAAAATTATTTGGTACAATTCCATTTGATGTTGTTACAGTTGTTGTTATTGGTAATTTATCTTTTGATAACTGAAGAACATTTAATAGTTGTCCTATTCGTTGATCAACTTGTCGTTGTTTTTCATGAACACGAGATTTTAATTCTTCAAATGGTTTTGTACGAAAATCTTCAATTAAACGTCGGTTTTGATTATAACGATCTTGAGTTGTTTCATTTGAATTAAATACATCACGTATTGTTTGAAATGATATATCTTCAACGTGATTATCATTCTAAAAAAGAATAAAATCATATTAATATTCATATGACGTATTATATTAACATACACTAAATGTTGCACGAGGTTCAGTTTCACTAATTATTGAACCATCTGTTTCCGAATCCTCATTATTTTCACTACCAGGTGTGTCCGGTTCTAGGAAAAAAAAACAAAAGAACATAAAAGAAAAAGTTTTTGTTTTTTTTCTTTGATTTATCCGCATTATTCTTTATAAATATAAACATAGTTATTCAATTATTTAACGAGTATTTAAAACAGAATAAAAGAGAACAAAAACGATAAGGTGACCACGCGATGAAGGAAATAAGATTTATGCCATTGTCGTGTTTGCCTTTACTATGCTTTCGATAGCACGAAGAAGATTAAATTCTAGTTGTAGCTAATAGAAGAAATTCCTTCCTTCTTTTTTTGCATTTCTTCAAGTCGGTTTTTTTCTTATTTTTCTTGTTAAAAAAAAGATGCATAAAGAAAAACGACGATGACAATTAAGTCTACATAAAATTACATAGAAGAAAAAAATATCTACAGTTACATTTATTCATCTTAAGATTTTCAAGATTTAAAAAGACGATGTTTTATTTTGAACTATTTCTATTGCCTATTATTGGTTTTATTGGTATTATGTTCAATTGGCTTCTTATTTTAGCAATACAACGTAAAACATATTATTATCAATCTTCACAACGAAATCCAGCTCCAATAGTAAATAAATCTCTACTACAAGTACATGCATCATTTTCTGGACAAATTAATCATCCACCATTATTATTACCATCTGTACGTTCATCAATATCAACATTTGATAAATTTATTTTAGCATTTTTAATAAATGATATATTTGTATGTAATTTTTTATTACCATTACGTCTTATTGAAATTTTACGAGGTTTACCATGTGGATTTCTTTGTTTTATATTTAAATTTTTTGAAAAATTAACAACAATAATTGAATTAATTATAATTAATTTACTTTTAATAACATCATTAATTTTTTTTTGGAAACAACGTTTATTAACAACAAAATTATGGGTTATATTATTTATATTTATGTTACCAATATTAATTAGTGGTTTTCTTACAACATTAACTTATATTGATGTTGAAGAATATGAAGTAAATAATCGACCACCATCATGTAAACAAACATTTATTTATATTGATTTAGTTACACATAAAACATTAAATACTTTTTGTTGTATAATTACATATTTTATGATTTTTATGAATTTTATTTTACTTATTAAAACGAAATGCGCTATTAAATCGTATAAAAAAAGAGCTTTGAAAACTCTTACGGAATCTGCAATGGGAGGAAAAACTGAATCACCAATGTCTGAATCGGTAATAGAAACAAAATTTATTAACTTCTATGATATTATATTTATTTTTTAGACTACTAATGATTATAATCATCGTCGTCGTTCAATGTATTATTTTCCATCTATATCAGTCGAACCAACAAGTTCTAGTGCTACTCCACCACCTAAACGTTCAATTCAATCTATTGATTATATGACTTATTTCACTGTTACTGAAAATAGTCATACACTTATACTATCAACATGTTTAATTTTATTTATTTATTTATTAGTTTATATACCTTATTGGTTTTATGAATTATCAAATAATCAAATATTATATCAATTAAAAGATATATTTTTTCTATGTCATATAGTTAAACCATTTTGTTATATGTTAACGAATGAAAAATATCGAGATCATGTATGGGCTATTATAAAATGTAAAACATTTCGAATGTTACCAACAATTTTACGAAAAAAATCACATAACATTACGTTAAATAATAATAATAAAACTGTTAGTATATCATACAACTGCTAATAAATAAATAACATACCTGGTTCAGGACGAAATTCACGATCGAATCTTGATGTATCATGACCAGATGCATCTAATGCATTAGCAACTGATTCTTGAGAAAATAAACAATCTTTTGGAATACGATATGGAATTGTTTCATCAATATTTGAATTAAATGCATTAGGAGGTAGTAAATATGGAGCATGACGTTCACGTTTATGAACAACCTATAGAACGTAAAAACAAACAACAATAATCTTTGCTTTTTTTTCTTTTATAATCATCTTTATTAATAGAAAAAAAAAAGTCACAATTTATCTGCCGGAAATGACAGGAAATTTGATTCGAGGTAAAAAGCTTTAAGTTAAATATTAAAAATGCCATTGTGGATTAATAGAATACTTAGTTATTATTTACGGAAAAAACTCATGAGAGAGATAGAATTCGTCGGGTTGATCCTGGACCTGGATCCGATGGACTCTACTCTGCACTTTTCTCAAACGACTCACCTGAGAAATGTGTAAGATGCACTAGTCACCGGATATAAAGAACCGGAAAATAAATATTTCCTAGCACTGGAGCGACCATCCTGTTCCGATTAGAAAGTTTTCATTGAAAATATCAAAGTACGGTCTGACTAGATCCGAAAATTTTTAACTCGACAAGTGCTAATGAGGAAACATACCGAACCGTGGAGTTTCATTTTAGGACTACAAGTAGATCTCGATGAGACAAAGACAAGCTTAAAAAGATTCGGACTCATGGCCTATTGATAAAGAGTTATGAACGTTTCAATGAAATTTTTATTGAGAGCAAGACATTATCGAAAGATTCAAAAGAAAGAATTGCGACTAGAGAGCTGCGGGTCCATGTTTTTTTGGACTCGGACCTGGACCCGGGCCCCGGAAAAACTAAATTTTCAGACCCGGGCCTGACCCGGACCCGGCTGAATCTAGGCCCAGACCCGGCCGGGTCTAGACCCGATCCTCTTTTCACCAATATTTGACACCCTATGTGTACATGAACAGAAAAGGGAACACAATTTTAGCTCTTCATTGGAGACTTTAAAGGTCAAATGAGTGTAAAATTATTTCTGACTGTTTCTTTTTCAATTTTGTTAACTTCAACTGTTATTGTTATATATTTCCATTCATAACTTAATGCAGACCGTGTCTGACTTTCCCCTTAGGTTTAGACCCGGGCCCGGGTCTGGAAGGACCCGCAGCTCTCTAATTGCGACCTATAGGCATGTTGGATAGCTATTAGATTGTCCTGAATGTTTAAATGAAAACGAACATATCTTTTTCGAGATATTTAATTTCCAAAAAAAAAACATCGGCTTATACCGTAAGAGGACACACTAATTGAGTCTATTTCGAAATCGAATATCTCGAGAAAAGGATGTTCGTTTTCATTGATACTTTCAGGACAATCTAATGGCTATCAAACGTACTTATAGATCGCAATTCTTTTTTTTGGATTTTTTGGTAATGTCTTGCTCTCAATAAAAACTTCATTGGAATGTCCATAACTCTTTATCATTAGGCCATGGGTCCAGAATCTATTTAAGCTTATCTTAGTCTCACCGAGATCTACTTGTAATCATAATACGAAATTCGACGATTTGGTATGTTCTCTCGTAAATAACACTGCATAGAAATTCTTTTATTAATAATAATAGTTGTTCATTTTTAAAAGTGTTGATATCTTATGTGACATTCTTGATTTATCTATGAATTGACATGAACTAAGATTACATGTTCGTATTTTAATAAAGCATTTTCTAAGTAAAAATAAAGCAAAGAAAGATATTTCAAGAATTATATATGTTAATGAAATAGATATTATACAGAAATTCTATAGGTCGTCTAAGACTCTAATAAGATTCTTTAATCTATGAATAAATTTTTTTTTTCTTGATATTCTTACGTCATCTACATGATGAGAAAATGCACGAATTCCATTTAATTTTGACATTAAATTAAAATAAGCTGCTATTAATGCATGTATACTATTATGATTAATTCGTGATAATTTTCTTTGAGATGATTGATGTAAATTTCCATTTGAATCAGACATTTTTGTTATTTTTGACTATATATAAAACAAAAACAAAAACTTGATAAATAATTAATTAATATTTAATATTTTTAATTTACTTGAATTTCAAAACAAAAATGTATAACATCAACAAGAACATCTTTATCTACAGCTTCAAGTGTAACAAGATTCATAAGACAATATATAGCATGATATATATCTTTTGTATTATTATCCATTAATATACATTGATAAAGTTGTGAAAGAAATTGACGACCAAACTAAATAGTAAATAATAAAAAAAAATAGAATTAATATTTTCAAAATAATAAAACAAAAAAGATATATATATACTTTTTTCATAAATGCAATATCAAATAGACGATTTGCTTTAGTTTCTGTTGGTAATTCTAATTGAGATATATCTTTTGGTAATCTAAATATAATAATAAATTATTTAATATATTGTACATGATTGATTGAACAAAAATATAATCATCATGAAAGCAATTAACTACATCAAAAGTTTTTAAAAACAAAAAAAAACTTCCAAGAGAATGAGATATACTTTTTAGTTATATATAGAACAAAGTTTTCAAACATTTCTAAGAGCAATTATTCTCGTAAATAGACTAAAGACATTTAATAATAAAGATATTTTTCTATTAGGTCATTTATTTTCATACGTAGAGATGTATGGATGCATATCGAGTCTCAATGCCAATGATTAGAACTTTTTATTTCAACTTTTTCAATTGGAGAAGATCTATTTCAATACCTTATTTTTATAAAATATTACTAAACCATAAGAATTAAGCTTTTCTCGAACTCGAGAAATCTTCTATAGATTCAAATTCCTGAACTTTGAATCTATTTTTACAAAATTTAGTTATTTTCTTGAAATGATTTTCCCAACTGAAAAACATCGAAATCTCACACTTCAGGGAAAAAGTGATACTCATCAGCTGAATAAATTAGAACACAAGTATTTAACACTTGTTTGTAGATTTAATGCGATGAATAGTTGATTTGTTCAACATATAATTTCAAAGAACAATGTAACAATTTTTTGGCGTTTTGACATATAAAATGATCTTGAATATATCATCAATTATCCATCAATTTGTCTAATAACTACATTGTGACATGCATCAATCTTCGAGATATGGGTGTATGGGCATTAGTAGTCTTTTGATAGTCACACTCACACCCACATCTTTGAGAAATAAATTTTTCTATCTCTAATAATAATTACTTTATTTTGTGTAATTTATCTGCATATTGTCGTCGATCGACTAATGGTTGAAGAATTTCTAAAACAATTAAACGAACTTCTGGTTCTGGTGCACTCAACATTTTAAGTAATGGATCAAAAAGCTGATGAGGAAATGTTGTTTGAGTTGATGTTTCACGACGATGAACTGTTTGATAAGTAGCTGCAACCTAAATAAATATTAAGTTGATAAATTTTTTTGTTATATACATATATATATATCTTATCACATCGAATAAAATCTCAATCAAATATGAGCAAGGAGCAGAAAACAAAAACAAAAAAGATATTGGCGAATTCACGGAAATAAATCATAGAAAAGAAATTCTTTGTTTTTTTTTTATTTTTTCCTTCAAGTGATCTAATGTTTTTTTTAAGCTATTAAAAAGAAAAGAAAACATAACTAAAACGAAAAGAAATATTTCTAAATAAACATACTTTTTTTACAGTTTTAAGAAGAAGTAATTGAAGTTTTAAAGTAGCATCTCTAAAAGAAATAAAATAAAAAGAAATCAATAATTCAATTTTTTCAAATAAAAAAAAAACTTAAAATAACTAACTTTGAATCATTTGTTGTTTCTTCATAACCTTGATTAAGTGTTGCTAATGATGTTATTATAAATTGCATTATTTCCATCATTTGAAAATCTGGTAATTTTTCTGCAAAATTTCCTATTTAATTTAAAAAGTAAAACAACATAAAAACTCTATTTCATTTAAATATATACATTTACCTATTCCATTAATAACTGCTGTTTGAAATTCATGTTCATCTTGATTATTTGTTAATGAATTACCATTTGATGAACATTGTATTTGAAATGATTTTCTTAAAAATTTTAAAAGTCGTAAAATGCCTGTAAACATAGTTGACCCTAATAAATAAAAAAAAAAGAAAAGTTTTATTAAATAAATAAATATTTCTTATATAATCGTATATACCAGCTCCTGTATTTGCAGCAGCAAAAACCATACAATCTTGAATAACGTTCATAATTGATGTTTTTATATTAGCTGTATCTTGTTGATGAAAATGTTTTTCAAGATGACCAAGAAGTAATTCAATAATTAAATAACTATTATGATGCTAAATAAAATAATTTAAAATATTAATTTGCAAAAAAAAAAGACAAGATATACTTTTATTGAATTCATTATTTCAGAAAATATATATTTTGGAAAATCAACGGGAATCCATTTAGCATGATTATCTAAATGTCTAGAAGAAAAAAAAATAAAATAAAATTCTTCTTGTTATTTTCTTTTTTATCTTACATAAGAATTGGTTGAACGCATGCAGTTATATTATTTAAATGAGCACGACAAAATAAATCTCGTAAAACAATTTCAGCTAATATAGCTGGATTATCATTAGTTGTATTTGATCCACGTTCAATTAATTCAATTTGTTCAGGTGCTGTTGTTACACCAAGATTATCTTGTGATGATGTTGATGTTATACTTTAAAAGAGAAAAAAAAGAGCTGTTAGGGCAATCTCTCGGGAATTAAAATATGAAACACGATGTAGACATTTTTGCTAATCATATGGGGAATTGTTTTATTCGATCTATTTATGGATACTATTCTTTCACTCAATGCTTCAGAAAAGCAATAAGGAAGTAGTTCATATAATAGAACGAGATGATATTGATATACAGTTTGTACGACAAGTACAAATTTCTTTCCTATATATATTTAGATCGTATTTCACAAAAAACAAAGAATGATTTGAAAAAATGAATAATTTCATACCGATTAGATTGTCGATCTTGATCTCGTACTTCCATATTAAATACAATTGATGGAACTATTTTATCCATATGTTTCCAAACATCATTTTGTAATTCATCATTAGCAGTTTTTCGAATAAGAGCATGATGACCACGAAGACCAAGACATCGAAACCTAGAGAGAACAAAAAGAAGATTTTCTTTTTTTTTTGTTGTTTTGTAAGAAACCAATCAATGGTTTCGTAATCAGCTATAGGAGAAGATAATATTCATTGATTATTCAATGATTTTGTTGATAGTCTAATGAACATCTTCGGATATTTGAAATTTTTATTTAAATAATAGTATTAATTTTAGAAACGAAGAATATAAATGATTACTTAACCCTTTGGGGACAGGCGTGGTATATATACCACCTGGAGTATCTTTCAAAATTCAGGAATGATATAGATTTCAAATCAATCAGAAGTGAGTGGAAATAGCCTGTAGAATAATTTTTATGTGTTGATACAGTAAATTATCAGTATTTCAAAAGTGTCGGAAATATCCATACAATGTATTTAGTAGTTTATAACATTACATAATGGATTTTTCCCTTGCTTTATCATACATTCTTTCTTTGGATTTTTCCTATACATTCTAATACGTCTACCTTGATATTTTTCCTATTCTCCTATATACATATATACACAAGGGCGTCGTGTTCTCCTATCCGTCGTCACTTTCATTCTTTTCTTCAAATACACAAGATATTAGTATGAAGAATGTAATGTTGGGTTATGCGTAATTGATTGTTTTCAAGCTTATCATACCCTAAAATACTTTTGATAATGATTTTTCATTGAATAAACATCTGTTTTTATTCTAGTAAAAAGTTTAATTTTTTCAAAAAAAACTCCGTTGCCAAAAGGTTAATCAGAATTCTGTAATAATAATTATATTCAAATTAAACTCTTTATAAATACATAAAGAATTTTCATTGTAATAAATATTTTAATTTTATTCTTACTTGGTTTTATTATTATCACTATTATTATGACAAAGTTCAGTAAAACGATCAACAAAAAATTCATAATTTCGTTGATAGTTTGGTGCTTCTTCACGAATTTCACAAAATGATTCGAACTAAAACCAAAAAAATATTGAATTCATTTTCTTCTCTCATTTATCAAAACCCAAAAAAAAACAGAAAACAAACCAAATCATACCGAAGAAACAGCATGTTCAGTTAATTCTAAATCATTTTTTTCTTCAAGTACAAGACGAAGTGCATCAAGATAATGATCAACAAATGTATTCAATTGTTGATAACATGATTTCATTGTATCATTCATAGCTTTAATACCAAGAATGACATATCTAAATTTATAGAAAAATTAAATTTATTTTGTTGTTTTTCTTTTTGAATTTAATACAAAAAAAGCTTACGGCTTATTTCTATGACGTAAATAACGTGCCACTTTTTCTGACATATAACGAAATGATTTATCAAGTTTTTCTGGTTTAAGAACAGCATAAAAACGTAATCGTTCAAGATTATTTTTATCAAGACCATGCTAAACAAAATATAAATCCATGAAATTTTTAATTTCTTTTTTTTTCTTTTACTTGTGGATTTGCTGGAAAAACATTATTAACTAATCGTTTATATCGCGGTACTAAATAACAGCCACAACAAAAGCAATTATTGCAATATTCCGACATGGCTAAAAGTAATTACAAAGAGAATCTACAAATTAATAACCTTGAACAATCAAAATCAGACATCAATAAATATAATGCGTGACAATTGATACAACACATTGATTTTTATCGCTTCTCAACAAAAGAAAACAAAAGAATTCAAGGTTATGCATGCTTATGAAATGCAAACATGAAATATAAATATGTACGTATTGACTATTGGTTTTTTCTTCTCACGCTTCACACGTTGTACAACGATAATATATTATGTACGTATGTATGTTGACGTTTCGGTAGAGAACTCATTTATTGGCTAAATGTAACCTATGAAAATAATGCTCAAAAGAAAAGAATTATTGATACGCTGAGGAATATACCTATCATAGAATACATTCAAGATGACGCTAATAGTTAACTACTGATATTTGATGAGAATTAGAAAATATTCAAATTAAACATGTTACAGAGTTTTTTCTTATTTTATCAATATTATAAAACTAACGGTATATCATCAATGAATGAGAATGTTTGTTTGATCTAAAATTATACAAAAAGAAAAAAATGAGAGGTATACTTTTTTAATCAAGAAATCATTTTGAACAATATCTGTGTGATTTACCAAATGTTTTGATTTTATCAGATAATGTAAACTAATCGATAAATCAACTTTGTTGTATTATTCATATCATTACGTTTGTTACATATCCATAGAATGATTTGTTATTTGATTAGTTTTCATGCATAAAGACATCATTAGTCTTTAACGAATGTTAAAGATATGCAGACAAGGTGAGGAAGGTAAGAGTCAACATATTACAGTATAGACACAGTGTGCGTTTTTTTTTGTACGGTAGACGGGCATGTGACTTTCTTACTTAGAGATGATTGTATATGATGCAGAAAAGTATTTTTAAGAAAAAAAAACATTCTTTTTTTGAGAAACGAAAAATACTTGAGGAAGACTCTTTGCCCTCATGTTTTCGAGAAAATTTTTTTCTTCAAAATCATTTCGTTTTATAAATCATTCAATATAATTTAATGCGCTGATTTCGAATCTGATATTTTTGTCGATTAAATGTTTTCAATCTTGAAAAGTCACGATTATCATTTTTAGCCAAATGTCTGCCTAAATGCACATTGTCACAGTGTAGAGTAAAGATTAGAAAATATCTCTCCGTCATAGTACAGAGTACGAAAAAATCTTACCCTGGATATCTCTAATGAAATTATCTTTAATAATTTTTATCTAAAGAGTATGACTATAAACAAAATATGATCAAATTTAGAAAGAACGACTTATTTTATATATGCATCTTTTGTTTTGACAATGGACAAAATTCTGTGCGACCAATTTTCAATGTTGCGAACATGGACATATTTTTGGTAAACGAACCATTCGCTTTTTTTTTATCTCATCGATTGAACACACTGACAAAAAATAGTTTTCATTAGAACACGTTCATGCTGCAAGACGAACAAAGTGGCATAAATTGAACAGCTAATTACTAAAAAAAAAAGAATTATGATGTGATTAGATGCTTCTAAAAATGGTCATACTTCGTCAATTATTTTTAAACCTGGTGAAACATTATCAAATGAGAATTATATTGAAGTTGTTCTTCCATATGCACAATCTGAAGTTAAACGAATGCTCGACGATGATTTCATCTACCAATAAGACAACGCTACACTGCATACACATTACGAATCGTTGATACGGTGTGGAGAAAATTTCATGCAATTCATTGAAAATTGCAGACGACCACTGAACAGTCTTGATTTCAATGTTCTGGATTATTACGAGTGAGATGCTATCACTAACAATATGCAATGGAATAAAGTTAGAAATTATGATTCATTAGTTGGTGAAATAAGAAAAAAATGAATTCGTCTTGCACCAAGAAATTATCAAGTTCGAAATATTGAAATTTGGTCACTTAGAATTTTGTCTATTTTGAAAGCAAGAAGGACAACTATAACATAACCCGTCTTTTGTAAACTGTAGAGCTTTTCACGTTGCATCTTGTAGTATGCTTTGTCTTTTTTTTGAATACAACGTATTAAGTAATTAAAAATTGAAATGGAAAACGCGGTCATCTATTATACTCCATCCGTTAGAACTATTCATTTAAGATAATGTTTTCGCATCTACTAGACTGTATAAAAATCTTCAGTTGCTTATATTTTGAGTGTACATTCCATTTGTTGTTCAATTATTGTATTGATGAAAACTTCCTTCCTACTTAGTTCGCTTCATATTTGATAGAGCTATAAAACACACTACTTTTTACGGTCTAAGAAAAAAGTGAAGTACATAAGAAAATGCTTAATCCACTATTATTGACGCCAAATTTTTAACTTTTTCGATTGATATTCAACGATTTTCAAGCAGAATAGTATTCATTTCGCTTCAAATAAATATCGTGTTTGGAGTTTGCACCAAAAAAAAAATGAGTCAATCTATGTATGTTTGAAACTTGTTGTAATCAAGTTTTCCCCTACAGACCTCATTAGAGATATCTAGGAAAATGAATTTAATCAAAAAGTCATTGCGACAATGAAAAACAAGTTCTAACCCTGTAAAATGTTATTTGAAGACAAAAATACAGGTGACTAAACAATAAAATAGTTCTTTCGTTTAAATTTATTTTTCTAAACATATCTGACGGTGTTCAGAAGTGAAAATCTGATCAGGAAAAGTTTGAAACATCTGTAGGATTTTTTCCATAGAGATACAGTAAATAAATACTATAGTGTGTTTAAAAAGTTCGTGCGTGTGACTGTTTTTTGAATAACTCGAGAACGCAAACAGCTAGAGACCTGCGGTTTTCACCAATCGAAAGACGAGGAGTTAGAGCGTCTTTCTCTCTGATAATATTTTAGACGAAATTCTTTTAAAACTGATCATCTTTGAAAAATATAGAAAAGAAAGCATGAAAGTGACATACAATACACATGAAGTTTCGATTATGATCTTTGATTTAGATAGAGGAAGTTCAAATCTGTAGTTCAAAGCATAATATACTTTCTTACGTTTCATTATATTTTCATCAAAGTATCCAGTTGTTATGACAAAAATTGCAAAAACGTAGTAAAACATCAGCAAAATTCCCTATTATTTGTGCATGTGTGTGCATGATTTCATTTGGTCAACGTTAGAATGCAATTAGAGAGCCATTTGGGTTGCATCTTGAACTATAGATCTGAAGTCCCGCTATCTAAATCAAAGATCATAATCGAAACTTCATGTGTATTGTATGTCACTTTTATGCTTTCTTTTCTATATTTTTCAAAGACGATCAGTTTTAAAAGAATTTCATCTGAGACATTAACAGAGAGAAAGACACCCTAACTTCTCTTCTTTCGATTGGTGAAAATCGTAGATCTCTAGCTATTTGCGTTCTCGAGTTATTCAAAAAACAGTTACACGCACGGACTTTTTAAACAGACTATACTATTAAGTATTTTTGTTGGTATGATGAAAGTAATTTTATCTATTAACAAATAAGAAAAATATATATGAAGTGTTTCCTAAATAATTTTAAGAAACGTTTCATATATATTTTTCTGGTTTGACATTAGTATGTGTTTACGTTATCTGTATGACGAAAAAAAACTTTAAATTAGCGTCTACTACTAAGTAAACAATCAGTCCAGTGTGAATCAAAGCGGAGATATTTCAATTTTTCTCGTATTATTATTATGACCCATCTTGTACAGACAACGCAATTAGATTGTACTTTGAACCTCAAAAGGAACCGAAATACATTCTTGTATGTGCTTCCGTCTTTTATTTGTTAATGCTCTACCACAAGTATGATTGTTTTTTTTTAAATATTATTTAGCTTTTTCAGCAAATATTTTTTACTATATGATATGACTCTTCATTATTCTTTATTTAGAATCGGTTTTATATTTAAACATATATATCTAAATGACAGTGACAGCAATTTACTTATGTTTTTTTTACACGATAGCGACAACAAAGAAACAAGTACTGGTGTATTATGAACATAAAATAAAACTAAAAAAAACCAGATTTTATATCATATTAGTTTTTGGTCAATAAAAAAACTATTGTATTCATTTATCATCCATTGTTTGTTATTAGTCGAAATTTAATTTCGATCATTTTGAGTACGATTTTGTCTAATAACTGTTGCAACTGTTATAAGATTATTCATGAATAATGGTTTTGGTACTGTTACATAAAGATCTCTTTGAAATTCAATATAATCATGCGTATATTCATTAAATTGATCATAATCAATTCCTTGTATTTCTCCATCTATACTTGTACGCAATGTTAAACCAGGAATTTTATTCATAATAAGTAAAATAATTAATGTTATTACAAAACTCCAAACAAAACCAGTAGCTAAAAAAAAAAAGTTTTTCGTTTTTATCAAAACAAAAGGCAACAACAAACAAACATCTTCCTTACATGCAAGTATTAATTGATAAACTATTTGCATCCAATTACCATCTAACCATCCACCAGTTATATTAACTTGATCAATTGCTGGAATATATTTTTGAGCAAATATACCTGTTAATAAACATCCAACAAAACCTCCTATTGCATGTTGTGCAAATATATCAAGTGGATCATCAATTTTAAAAAATATTTTTATTTGTCTACCAAAATATACACATGTGCTACCACTAATACCAAATATAAGTGAAACTGGTATACTAACATAACCAGAACCGGGTGTTATACACACAAGACCAGCCATTGAACCCATACAAAAACCAAATAAAGTAAATTTATATTTTGGTTTAAAAAGAAAATAATCAAGCATACACCATGTAAATCCACCTGCACAAGCTGCTAAATTTGTAACGACACAAACTAATGCAGCACGACTACTTATAACTAATCCACTACCACTATTAAAACCAAACCAACCGAACCATGATAAAGCTGTACCAATAAATATACTATTTATATTATGTGGTCGATTTTGTTCAATACGAGTAACTGGTTGACGTTTACCAAGCACAAGACTATAAACAAG